GAGAGAGAGAGAGAGAGAGAGAGAGAGAGAGAAATGATAAATGAGACAGAAATGAGACCCCCATATGGTTTCAGACTAATACGTTGGGTAAATATCTCGTTCCCATGTGTTTTCTCTGCCCGCAGGTACCAGACTTAATTTAATGGTATTAAATTGCCAGTTTCTTCAGAGGACGCGAGATGCTCTAGCTTTAAAGTGCATTCAGCTCCCAGAAATTCCAACCCTTGACTAATTTGCCCTGTGGCTTATATAGATTACTACCAAATGGAATGTTCGCACTTCGCGGGACTCACAGCTATCTGAGGGAGCCAAAAAGTTAATATCTATGCGCTTGTGCATCTGTTTCAGACTTTGTGCCAGCTTCCCCCTCCTTTACCAATCCTTCCCCCTCGCGAACGTCAATTGGAACTTCTAATTCCCCTGTCGTCTGCTGCTGCAGAAGACAACAGACAAGAAACAAAAGGAAACTATAAAATCTTTTGAAATCTTCAATATACTTAATATGCAGCTATTTCTATTTCTGCTTATTTTTTTAATGTATATATATAAGCAGCAACAACAACAAAAATAAACAAGCGAAGGACTCGACGAAAGAAGCCCAATTGGTATTTAGTTTAATGGCTACATTTTATTTTTCGATTTGTCTTAATACTGAGCAGGAAAACAGATGAGGATAATCGCGACAATGTTGAGCTCTGAAGACACGAAGGATATAAAATTAATCTTAGCCATTTCCAAAACTGGAGCTAGAACTAGGCTCCATCTGCTCCGGTACTATCAAAGAGGGATTTGTGAGTACCCGATTGACCCGCCAGCGGATTATCTCTCAACATGGGGTACGAAAACCTTTTAGATTTATAAATTGAGCAATAGTCCATTTCTTTTTCTTTTTTTCTTTTTCTGGCACCGTATTGAAAATACTGTCTATAATTTTTGTCCACCCACCATCCTCTTCGAAACGAATTTTCACGAAGTAAAACAACAAATCTTGGAAAAAACTGTCCCTGATTGCTATCTAAAAAATGGAAATGAGTAACAGCTACTTGATGATTTTGACTCCCCAATAATTTGTCACAACACAGGTTGTAGAATAATATTAAATAAAACAAACTCTTGATCCTCTACAAAAGATGCAGA